CCCCCCCCCCCCAAGAGCCCCAAAGGCCTTTTAAATCAAAGCAGAATGATGTTTTATAGAAGAAATGGTTCATGCATAGGAATGTATTGTTGAATTTCTCACTTTAAAAAATACTTTTTAAAAATGAGGTTTAAAAATACTTATTTTAAAATATCCTTTTTTTTTTTAATTTCATAATATTTGTGAAGCAAAGGTAGGCTACTCGGCCCTAGAGAAACTGATGGGTGTAGTTATTTTCTTTTAGTTTTGGAAAAGAGAATTAGATTATGATAATTATTACCATTTTTATAGTGTTAATAGCATGTTTGTGGTTGAAGGTATTTAAATAATAAAGGGGCAGAATCTTATGCGTTTTGTTTCTGAGGCTCCAGGTGCTGGAAATGTCCTTTTCACTTTTAAAGATGAACCTTATAATCAGTTTTTAAACCTACTTTACTAGGAAAAACTTGGTTCATGTATTTACATCTCACTTTCTTAAGAGGTGTGGTTTTTACATCCTGCTCATTTTTGCCTTTTTGAGGTAATCTTTTTCTAAAATGGTGTCAGTGCACAGCGATCTTGCTGATTATTTTTACACTCTTCTTAAATTATTTTTATCACTATCTCAGTGTAATTGGTAGATAAGGGGACATTCTGCTTTTTCTTTGGGCTTTTAAGTGGCAATCATAACTGGGAAATGCCACATGATAGTTCTTATTTGCTGTTCTACTTAAGGCTGTAGATCTACAACAGTGCTATCCTTTGGAAAGTCACACAAGCAATTTAAAGTTTTCTAGTCACATTAACAAAGTAAAAAAGAAACGGGTGAAATTAATTTTTACTAATAAATTTTATTTAATCCTATATATGTACATTATTTCAATATGTAATCAGCTTTTAAAGGTTACTCATGAGATAATTTTGCATTCTTTGCTACTAAATCTATGGAATCTGTATATTTTAACTTATAGTATGTCTGAATTCAGACTAGCCACATTTCAAGTGCTCGGTGGCTACATGTAGCCAGCTAAGGGCTAGGACCTCATTGGGCAGCACCTATCTCTAGGATTACTGTGCGATTCCTAAGGTGTCTTCTTAGCCTGAGAGTTCAGGGTAAATTCTATGGGGTAAATTTAAGAATCCTTTTCCTGAAGTGCTTCCATGTTCAAACTGAGAAGTTTCTCTGCAGGAAGAAGGTTCCACGAAGTCCCTTCCTCCTTGGTGTTGACTGTGTTAACAGGAGAAACAGGTGTTCAGTGCTTGTTCAGTGGGGATCATAAGATACCAGTGTGCTCAGTCATTTCCTGGAGTGTCATTGCTACCTTTATTTACACCTGCATGTCAACCATGTGTCAAGGCCCTGTATGAGCCTGGCTCCTGTCTATCGGTATTAAGTAGAAGTTAAGGGCCTACACGAAGACTGAACTTCATTTTAAACAGGTGGGGTACCCGCTGTTATAGACTTATTTTCTAAATCAATTTCAGGTATGGCTAAGAGTTTTGTAAATGTGCTTCTCCAAATGATGGTGGTTCTTGTCAAAGAAAAGGTAAAATCCTTCTAGCAAAATGTGGAAAGGAAGAGGTTATGATTTGGGGCTGGAAAACTCTGGGAGCCTGAGCAGTAGCAGAAGAGGAACGCGTGCGTATGGTGCTTTAGGTAAATTTGAAAGGAAATCCGGCCGTTTTTATAGAAAGCTACTGACATATTGGCAAGGTATGTGCTTTAAGCTGTTTTTGCAAGCGAGGTGGTGATTTGCATGGAAGCTTCTCTTTTTCAGCGCTGTCATAACTGAAAGATAACCCTGTTGGAAAGTGAACTGCCCTCAGTGGGGATCAATAGGGACCAGTCATGGTTCTTATCTTGATCTCTGTACTCTAATAAACTTTCCTAAATATTACTTTAGCTGCACTGTTTTACACCTACATTTAATGACAAAATTTAAATTACCTGGTCAGTAAAACAGACTCCCTTTGTAAAATGTAGTCATTATAGACCTGGCACAGTGTTGACAGTGTGTGTGGAGTATTAAAAAAAATCGAAGATAGAATTAGGGAAGTGGGCAGTTACTATATGTTGCTTGTTCCATGAGAGATAAATGTGTGTGATGTAGGAAGATACAGTGTTGTGTTTAAATCCAAATGGCTACCCATTGACGTCATTTTAGTTGGAAAAGAAAGAGAATACATTGTTTTGTTCCTACAAATTAGTCTTAGCTATTTTTTTAGTTGTTTAAGGAAGAATAATTGATAATCTGGACATTTTCAGGTGTTTTTTTAAAAACTAATACAATTTAAGTGGCCTCTACAAGGATGATATTTTTATTGAGAAATTGTACACTCAATATGTCTGTGTCTTGATACTGTTCTGGAGCATTCTCTCCAGTTCGAGGCCTTTAGGATTCACATGAATACAGACTTTTCTTTATTTAGGAATCGTTCCCTTGGGGAAAATTATACTTCCTTTAACCAGGGAATGCTAGTGTTTTTTATGCATTTGAAATAACTCATAATGTTCTTTAAAGAAATACATCATTAGTCAGCTATGCCTCCATAAATAATAAAAAGCATGTCTGAACAATCTTGAAAAAAGAAATATATCTTTTAAATTTTTCTGAATCTTTTAATAGCTTGAGATTTCTTAAATTGCTCTGAACAGTTTTGAGATTCTGCTCTGTGACATAGTTGGAGATGGAAACTTTTTGCCTCCTCCCTGCCATCCCGTAGGGCTTCCTGTTTTTCATCATCATTAGCCATATAGAAAGGAAACTGTGCGTGTGTCTATCAGAAATACTGACAAACCATGATTGTTTTTCCCTTTTAACTTCCCTTTTAAGAATTCTGAAGCAGCCAGTGACAAATGTAATCACTTTTGTTGACATTTGGGCATTCGACATTTTAATTGACGATACCTGGAAGATTTTAGGAATTAACAATATTTTGTAATTGTCATATCTATTAAATTCTCTTATGAGACTACTTAGTCTATTTTTCCTGGAAAAGTAATACCAGATTAACTAATCACATTAATTTCTATGTTACCTGCATTTTGAAAACCCAGTGAATTGGGTGGCTGTGGTTTTCTAACTTAGTGATGGTATACTAACATTTTAAAATAATTTTTATATTGGAGATCTTAAAGTAATTTATTTAAAATATGTGGACTCTGCCCAGCCGGCGTGGCTCAACAGTTGGGTATCGACCTATGATCCAGGAGATTGGGGTTCGATTCCCGGTCAGGGCACATGCCCGGGTTGGGGGCTCGATCCCCAGTCGGGGGCGTGCAGGAGGCAGCCAATGACTCTCTCATCATTGATGTTTCTCTCTCTCCCCCCTCCCTTCCTCTCTCTGAAATCAAGAGTGTGTATATATGTGTATATATATAGATATATATATATATATATAGATGGACTCCATAGTAAGGTAAAGAATGCTCTTCCTGGATATTTGAGAGCATACCACTTATATTTTGATTTCATGCAGTCATTGTTTTTCTTGTCACTATTTTCTCTTCTGTAGGTGTTACCCCTTTACAACCAAGTCTTTAAAAAAGAATTT